TTTTGCGTTAGGAGGCTGTAATAAAAGTTCTGATAATATTAATATTCATCAGTGTATTGTATGGGAAAATAACTGACCTGTATGTGTCCATTTCTATCTCTAGTCACCGTTTCTCTGTCTAAATTAACATGTTATATGTGGTGAGTGGTTTATGTCAAATAAATATATATATATATACATATCAATTGTGTTTGTTTCACTTCAATTTTAACAACAGTTCATAATCCATGTCTCTAGAGATGTCTTTAAAAAATCGCTATATATATCTCTCATGGACTTTTTCTCATTTTGAACAATTTTTAAGTTACCTCATTTTCTAAACTTATGAATTGACTTATTTCTGCATGTTTCTCAACATATTTCTGGTTACTCTTGTACGGGTTACGTATTAAGAAGCAAAGTATTGGTGATTTACTGTTTCTCAACATATTTCTGGTCACTCGTGTACGGGGTTTGTGTTCAGAAACAAAGTATTGGTGATTTACTGTTCCGGAACATATTTCTGGTCACTCGTGTACGGGTTTGTAATTAGAAACAAAGTATTGGTGATTTACTGTTCCGGAACATATGTCTGGTCACTCGTGTACGGGTTTGTAATTAGAAACAAAGTATTGGTGATTTACTGTTCGGGAACATATTTCTGGTCACTCGTGTACGGGTTTGTGTTCAGAAACAAAGTGTTGGTGATTTACTGTTTCTCAACATATGTCTGGTCACTCGTGTACAGGTTTGTATTTAGAAACATAGTGTTGGTGATTTACTGTTCCGGAACATATTTCTGGTCACTCGTGTACGTTTTTGTAATTAGAAACAAAGTGTTGGTGATTTACTGTTCCGGAACATATTTCTGGTCACTCGTGTACAGGGTTTTTGTTCAGAAACAAAGTGTTGGTGATTTACTGTTCCGGAACATATGTCTGGTCACTCGTGTACGGGTTTGTGTTCAGAAACAAAGTGTTGGTGATTTACTGTTTCTCAACATATGTCTGGTCACTCGTGTACAGGTTTGTATTTAGAAACATAGTGTTGGTGATTTACTGTTCCGGAACATATTTCTGGTCACTCTTGTACGTTTTTGTAATTAGAAACAAAGTGTTGGTGATTTACTGTTCCGGAACATATTTCTGGTCACTCGTGTACGTTTTTGTAATTAGAAACAAAGTATTGGTGATTTACTGTTCCGGAACATATTTCTGGTCACTCTTGTACGTTTTTGTAATTAGAAACAAAGTATTGGTGATTTACTGTTCTGGAACATATTTCTGGTCACTCGTGTACGGGGTTTGTGTTCAGAAACAAAGTATTGGTGATTTACTGTTCCGGAACATATTTCTGGTCACTCGTGTACGGGTTTGTAATTAGAAACAAAGTATTGGTGATTTACTGTTCCGGAACATATGTCTGGTCACTCGTGTACGGGTTTGTAATTAGAAACAAAGTTAACTCGTGTACGTTTTTGTAATTAGAAACAAAGTGTTGGTGATTTACTGTTCCGGAACATATTTCTGGTCACTCGTGTACGTTTTTGTAATTAGAAACAAAGTATTGGTTCGGGAACATATTTCTGGTCACTCGTGTACGTTTTTGTAATTAGAAACAAAGTGTTGGTGATTTACTGTTCCGGAACATATTTCTGGTCACTCGTGTACGTTTTTGTAATTAGAAACAAAGTGTTGGTGATTTAGTTCCGGAACATATTTCTGGTCACTCGTGTACGTTTTTGTAATTAGAAACAAAGTGTTGGTGATTAAGTGGTGGGATAGTATGCGGGAGAAAAGAAATAGAAAAAATAAGAATTTGTAGACTAAAACCATAACTTTTTATAGCATATAGAGTCAGTCTTCTGACGGGTGGGGTTCGTGAAGGTAAGCGTACTCAATTACCTGACGATGCTGCCTCTGTAAGAATTTTTCTGTTTATTAAATATCAACAGACACAAATCTAGTTAAAGGGGGTACAATTTCTTTGATATCTAAAATGCAAAGTTATTAAATACCGTTTGAGAAACACAACAAGAAAGGGTGACATGCTGATATAGTTTATTTTGGAAGACATCAGTCTTCCTGATATGCTCCAGTATATATATACGATAAGCATATCTATATACAATACACAGTAAATTGTCTACCAGTTTATAGGCGATTGGAAAAAATGTTGCTTCAACTTTTTTGCCTTTTAACCTATTCTTACTCTCCTTGTACTTTGTCAGCCTCCTTGTAAATTTTTCTTTTGTTCATATCTTGCCCTAATTTTATGGAATTTGAGTTTGAATTATGTTGGTATTTTCTTGATTAAAAAACATATATCCCTGTCATATCATAGGCTTAATTTCTTACCTACAGACTGTAAATGACTTGTTTTCTATAACATGCTATAAACGTACATACTTACAAAAAACGATAATCTTGTTTTTTTGGTTTTCACGTTGAAAGTTTTGCGCTAAATATGATTGTTCTAACTGCAGTTACAGTATGTTATCTGTATAGTAATATTATTAATTGCTCCGATTAATCAATGCTCTTTTATGGCAAAAAGTGACATTGCGGTAAAATTTGATTGCGCTAAAGCAATACAGATCCGTCATTTCGATTTTATTGGGACAATTAATTGATCCTGACTTCTGAGAAAATTCCCTTCTTGAGTAGATCGTTAAGGTAAGGAAGCCCAATACGGAAATTAAATCACAACTGAACACTGACAAGCGATAAATGGTCTACTTTATTTTCAAAATAAATATCTTCTGACTTTTATACGGAATCTGTGATAATGTTTCACACCGAAGTTAAAAAGCATACTTTTCCATAATTACTGTCCGGACACGAAAAAAAAAATCCCAACGACAAGAACTCATATTGCACAGATGTCCTGAAATACAAAACCACACTGGAAAATACCATTGTTCCAGATAAATAACCATGCAGATTATAATAGGAGTTTATACAGACATATATATTTCAGAAACACACGTCAAAACTGATCAAAATAAAGTTTTTGTCTATGTTTAATTATGTATTTGTACGTTCATTTACAAAATAGAAGTTCACGATTTGCTTATTTTAAGCCACATATATTATACATATGCACTTGGAAGGTGTTACAGTAGGTTGAATACTATACCTATCTTACGGTTCTGATTTAATGACCTCAAATCACAACCCCTTCTACCCCGATGTATTTTCTAGTTCCTGCACTTAAGTTTTATAATTCCACATCTGCACGTTATTTTATCTGTTTTACAACCCGTAACCATTTTAAAACACAATTTTCACTTGTCTTCCGTAAATATAATATAACGATAAAGTAAATGATTCCTACATATGTAGAATGTCAGCAAAATAAAATCTCATTACTTTAGTAACAGGATATCTGAACATCAATCAAACTCTGTTGCCTGGTTAAGGTGCGAGTGCGTTACCATGGCGCCACCTGTCTATCCGCCATGTAAATCCAACTCTTTTCCTTTAAGCCTTATTTTCGTAAGATCATTGAACCACCAAAAAGACCCGGTAATTTTCTGCGTCATCTGTTAATAGAGTTATACAACCATCTCCTGGTCGGAGTCAGGACTGACATAGCTGACTTATCTCAATAAATATAATAATGATAATAATGAGAACGTCTGAACAAGTGTTAATGGCATATATTGTACGGGTGGTAGTGTATCAAAATTGCAGAAATGAGTTCCTTTAATGTATATCTAAATGTACAAATTACGTTTACATGAGTAACCTTTCTGTATAAATGAGTTATCTCAAATTATATATTAAGTACTTTTATGCATAAATGAGTTACCTTTCTGTGTAACGGAGTTACCGTAATGTATTAATGAGTTACCTTTCTGTATAACGGAGTTACCGTAATGTATTAATGAGTTACCTTTCTGTATAACGGAGTTACCGTAATGTATTAATGAGTTACCTTTCTGTATAACGGAGTTACCGTAATGTATTAATGAGTTACCTCTCTGTATAACGGAGTTACCGTAATGTATTAATGAGTTACCTTTCTGTATAACGGAGTCACCGTAATGTATTAATGAGTTACCTCTCTGTATAAAGGAGTATAACGGAGATATCTATGTAATGTTACCTATCTGTTTAACGGGGTTTCTTTATGCACAAAATGAATTACGTTAATGCCTAAATTCACTCCCTTATTGATAACGAGTAGCATGATTACACGGAACAAAGCAGAATCTTATGTGAAATACAAATTGTTAGAGTCTTAAACATGGAAAATAAGACCATGTTTTCGTGAGTGATTTTCGCCGTCTGTCTCATCGCCGATGCCCGTTAGAACATCTAAATAAAGAAATATTCTGATCAACATTACGTCCGAGCTCTAGGTACACTAGGGCAAATTAAAATGATTTCAGAAAAAAGTTTAAGGAAAATAAGACCAGATGTTCCGGAAGGGTAAGTATTCCCTGTTGCATTGAACAAGGAAAACAACATCAGAACCACCAGGGATACTATGATGATAAAAATATGCACGGATATACAATGTATTTAATACACAAAGATTCTCCGTTGGAGATTTCATAAAGTGTCATGCTATATATATACCGAAACAGATTATCCTTCGTTTGTCAGTCTTTGACTTGAAAAATTCGTTAACAGCCACTGGCAATGCTTGTGGACTTATAATAGTCATCAATGATATTTTACCTTTCCAAAATCAACACAGTAGATAATATCGACAGCTGGGATGTTTTTGCTAAAAAGTGTATTGATGTGTTCAAGAAGATCCGTAAAGCGTAGTTAAACCGGTAAACAGAGGATATAGATACATATATATATTTACGACATGTTAGAAACACTGAACGTGTCAATATTCTGGACGATTTTTTACAGTTATGCACACAAAATAAGCAGATAAAATATTTTCCTATGCCACCATTAAATAACAGCGATTACAACGATCTATTTTCATGTTTTTTATATTGCACAGTTATTGTATCAGTTTCAACTTTTCAAATGTAGGTTACACATATCACGTGATTATCCGTTTATCACGTGACCGCAATGTTTGCAAACTATATGTCCATTTATGGATTCATTGGTCGAGTGGACTCCATTCCCGTTTGATAGTTCATCTTGTTCTAGATTCGGGTCAGCATCAGTTTCACTCGAACTCGTTAAATCGATTGAAACTTTCATTTTGACCCCTGACCCCAGATCCACCTCCGAATCGGCTCCGCTCTCATTTCCGTCCTCTATTTCATTCAGACCTCCTGTCATTTCCTTCAAAGTCGACCATTCGAGAATCTCGTCCACCTTGGAATCGAGAGAAGCTTGCTTAAAGCGACTGATGATAGATCGATGGGGCATAACGTCACAGTCGAGACTCTTCTGTCTGTTCTGGTCCCGGAGTTTCATTCGTCGTCTAGGTGACAAACGGATCGGTCGACCATTAAAATCACTGTTGGTGATTTCCTTAGCAAATTCCACAATGACGTCATTGTTGTCAAATAGCGCTGCAAAGCTTCCATTGATAAGTTTTGGCGAAGACGGAACGTTGCTAAGCAACAGACTCATTCCATAGTCCTTTTTCTTTAGCGATGGGACTCTTTTCAGCACTTCCGGTTCAATGACGACAGGAATTGGTGGGGTTTCCTCGAACACGTCATCCTCGTCTGGCTCCTCGTTTCGAAGGACTTTAGTCGCCATATCTTGAATGATCTTCCAATCGCGTTCGATGTCCATGTTTGTCGTATACTGTGAGGTAACTGTGAATCGAATGACGTATTTTGATTTCAGTGCAGCAGGTACCATGTGTATCTTACCACTTTTGTTCAATCGTTTTAGAAGTATTTCTGTGCGATCATTATCCCCCTGAAAAAAATTCCGACAGATATATATTATTTTTGTTCTCGTTTAAATGTAAATGAATTTACCTTAATAATAATAATAATAATAAGATGTATACATATAAATCGCTTAATCGTCATGATGATCCATTTTGGTGACTGGGTTTCGTCAGTATATCTTAATTGAGGTATCGTATTTTTATACAGATATTGCTTTAATTGTCCCTGAGGTCACTGTAGTTTTAGGCATTCAATTAGACACGTAGTAAGGTAAGGTAGCGAGGCAAATTGTAACGTGATTAAAACTATGTTTATCAGTATCTGGGTACTAAATAGAGCAGATATCATTGCAGATATGAATATCGACCTTATTTTGAGCATTGTCACAAGGATTTCTCTTTCAAACTATATTTGGATATGGATATTTCAATCATCATTTCGGCAATGCAATTTTAATCTTTGTTGATATTTCATGTTTAAAAGGGGGAAATTAATTTGTACACTCAATGAGAGCTCCAAATGTCAAATGTCATTATCACCTTCAATCGGAACACCACCATTCCCAGATGTCGCGCGGCAGGTATCTCAAATCTTTCGTCTTTTCGGACCATTTTTTCAAACTTTTCAGCCAGACGCACTCCCTACAGTTAAAACAACACACAACACATGATGACATTTATGTTTGAAATACATCTGATGTTTTGTTCTTGTTCAAAATACAAGAGTGACCTCCCATCCTTAGAATAAGACGTTACATCAACTAATTACTATAATATATCGATTCAGGTTCTTTACGTTATATTTCTTTAGGTCTATTGCTGACTTCTAGTATAACTAAGAGAAAAGATGTCAAAATCATACTCCAACCTCAAATGCAAACATGAACAAAATAATGATTTACAGGCAGATTCACGAACAAGTACACAGGACTACCTTTCTCACGTGGGCTTGTAGACCTTCCACACCAAATGACCTGATGACAAACCACAACTTCAGAGCGCGAAACCTTCGGCTTAGTGGTATCTGCCAGTGCTAAAAGAAACGATAATACCGATAGGTCAGATGAATCTTGATTGCGTTTTTGATGAATGTCAGACAAAACATGAACAAATGAAAAAAAATACAAGAAGAACAATCTAGATACCTCTAAAGGTAAGGCATATTTAACGTGATCAACGACATTCGAACAATAAATGATTCCAAGTAAATATTGTTATATCCCGAGAAGAGAGCGAGGTAACAAAGCATGGAAACAGAAACATTGTTAGAAAGGATTGCTCAAGTAAACAGTATCTATATAGAATTATAGTAAGAGAAATACGACATCATATCACGACAATACATCAGAGTGTTGTTTCGTGTTTCTGTTATTATCCAGTGATGTTAGTCGCCTAAGGTGTGATATATTGTAAAACCCGGGCTACGCAAATCAAAGACAGCTTAAACGAGTAATAGATGAGAGTTAAATAAACCGTATGATACATTACATAACATATATTGAATAGTTTTAACATTAGTAAACAAATGGATAAGGTACAGCTGTTGTGTTATAAATCTACATGAAAAGGTAAAATTATGCAATGAGTTCCATTTTATTATTCATTTTCGAATTATCAATCATTCTTAATATATTGCTTTATTTACAAGTGCATATCGTTGATAATGAAAAAGATATCACACACTGCACCAATAGGGTGAAGTCATAATCCGATATAAAAAACAATTCTTCTGGAGAGTGATTAGGAGAAAAGCATAATATAATGTAAACATCAATGGTCCAGAAATATGCAATATATACATTTATAAGTGTATTGAAGCAGATAAAACGAAAATGATACTTTGTGTTGTCGACTATATTGATTTTCTATCATCTGCTCGATTGCTCTCGTGTTTCATGTTGGGTTTAACCAGTTCAGGTATAACAGTGTAAAGTCTTCATGCCTCTTTATCCCCACTCAGACTATCTACGTGCTATATGTCATAATGTTGGTTCTAATTATTTATTTTATTATTTGTAAATCAGATGGCTTTTCATTGTTATCATCAAACAACATTAACAGAAAACATTTGACTTGTATAGGTTAATATGGCAACGTTAATATTCATTCAAACAAAAACATCGAAAACAATGAAGACCGTAACGATATATTAACAGAACCAAATCCGTTGAAATTCGGCCAAAATATGAATATTTACTCGAGAAAAAAATCATTTATAACTTACCATGTAGTCGATGGCGGCACCTAATGATAAAAATAGTGTCAGAAATAAGTTATGATACAAAAACTTTGTAATTCAATGTGAAATGCAAAATATATTAATGAGTCCAAAAACAATAAAATTCAGTTGAAATGTCGAAAATAATTTCGTGTTTCACTTATATCAATGCTAAATATTTTATTTACTATTAAATAAATGCGCATGTTGGCCGTGACTATAAAAATGTATAAGGCAATAGCATAGACGGTTTAACCGTTCAGGAAATGGTTTCCGCACGTCAAAGAAAGGGCATGTATTTACGTTAGACAAGTATCTTAATCGAAGTCGTTCTTTCTGAAGGTGAGTATTCTTGGAAGAACAATAGTCCTTTTTACAGATCGCTTGACGAATAGTATTGATCTGTTGTGAATTACTATAGCAGTTTGCTTCAATAACTACCATTTAATTTGACCGTTTCATTTCGTTCACCCAATCACGTGTATCATACCAGATCAATTTGACTGGTTATGTAGGACACAGGTCCGATAGCAGATAGAAGTACAAGTACCTTTAACAAAAAAGAAAAGAAAAAATATTCTGCAGCAATGGCAACTGTTGTTGTACTAGGGTAACGAGTGTTTCATGAAAATGTATCTGAGAATCATTACTGATCAATCTAATATTCCTTTTTATGTTATGTCTCGGAGGAAATTATATAACCGAATCTGTAACGATCAACTTTTTACGACAATAACATGCTGATTTTAGGGCCTATGCATATCTAAAGGTGAAGAGTGCATTGTTGCCAGGTGACCGACTTTAATGATCATTAGAAACAAACGTTATCACTGCCATATAAAAACAAGACAATGCCGATATCAAAACCAATTATTCAGAGACAAAATATATATCCGTACTGCTATGTTTGAAAACAACAAAGAAAAGATCAACAAGTCAGTAGAATATTAATTCGAACTCTATATTGATTGAGCGAAGTTAAAAAATGAATGAAAGGAAGATTTACACATAAACTTGTAATATATAAGGATAGGCAGACCAGGTGTTCGTCAAGGTTTTTCGTTTTCTGCTTTAATAACGACATTGGCCGTGCAGAAAATCAAAATATACAAACTTCCTGATCACCATGTAATTTCAGAACCTTAGGTACAAATATTGTACAATAGAAAAAGTGAATAACACCTTTTATTAATTTAGAGTTAGATACAGTAGAGCCAAACAAAGAATTAAATTGTGTCATACAGCCGTTTCGTCCTTATAAGACTCTTCATTGATGATAAGGGCTTACAATGTGAACCCCAAGAGGCCACTAAGGAATCTAGACGAGGAGGTTCCGCAGCCCAGTAATTAAATAAATCAGTCTTGCACGCCCAATCAGTAAGAATATCATCTGCCTAAGTCATCACTCTAGTTTTACTGACAGCAGGAACACTTCTGTACAAACACAAATCCTACTTAGTGAAAACAATCGGTAATTTATATATGCGATTTTTTACATGCTATATCGACACTTTTTTCTACAACGAAATACATTGGCTCTAGTTCCTGATATATGTTCTGTCTTCGGAAAATATTTGCCACGAATAATTTCGTCCTCCCATCAATTATTTGTCTTCACCCGAAGTTAAATTAACACTGAAAATTTTATATTATAAATTTCTGCTGTAACCCAACAACTTATCAGCGAAAGTTAAATTTTTCACCCTATGCTGTAAAATCAGATATTTTCTATTTTCGTGGGTTTTCAGAAAAAAATTAATCATGTACACTTAATTTCATGGATGAATATATCGCAACAGTCTGCTTATACCAATTTTCACCGTTCGTAGAATTATGATTTCGTAGATAAAAATTACCCATGAAATGAACGAAAATAAAACCCACAAGAAATTTCACAATACCTCAATCGCGATATCAATAAAATATCAGCTTGTGTTAGCGCTTAAGAGGCGTTGTATAAAGATATCTCTGCACATCTGTGCTATGGTGTCGGTGTAGCTATGGTTTAAATATTGCATGCATTTGCAATTCGAAATACATATGCTCAATTAAGAATCAATTGTGTCATACAGCTGTTCCTTTGTATAAGCCGCGTGTTTTTCACGAGGTATATGTGTATGTATAAGATATTGAACTTAGTTAGTAAGGGGTTATCGCAATCGGCCAGTGTTGTAATATAGGTAGGGAGTTGTAAATTTGACTAGTGATCACATGTTTGATATACAAAAAAAAAACATCTACAAAACTTACATCTGGTGATGTTAGCGCTCATATACAGGTATTCGTATTATACTGATAACAGGTGTTCAATTGCGGTTTAACGAGTTTATCTAACCGAATTTCGTTTTACAAATTACAAACGTCAATTGATTGCAAGTGTGACTGATTAAAACAGTATGGCTTGCGCACAACAGGAAATGAAATCAATGAATCATGTATATAGGAGTCAACATCCGGAAGAATGATATTTACAATTTTATGCCAAATGAATATTTAAAATCATCGTCCGTTTGATCCTGATTAAAATTGGGAATTGTCGATGGTGAAGAATATTTCTTTTCCAATGTAAATTTTAAGTTCTTCCTTCTCATCAATTGGAATTAATGATGTTATATGAAAATGTGACATAGACAACTGCATTAACGTTCTTTACAATGCGAGATGTTATTCTCAGATCGGCAATAAAAGAAAAGAAAGTGTCTGATTCAGAGAAATTTGATCAGCTGTACCTTTTTTGGTCATATCTATATCATGCAGTCATCATTTGAACCAGGGGTATGGAATGTTGAAATTAATTAAAGGAGTTTTGTAAAATAGAATTCGACAGAAACATATATTATAGTAAAGACCGAGACGTGTAAATTTGGTATGGCAAGCAGAGAGGAGACGTTCAATATAAATATGAAAATAAAGCTATACAAAATTTAAGTTCCGATGGTGTTACAGAACTTGATAAGGACGCCGATATTCATATTATATTGTATTCTGATAACACATGTCCATTTAAGATCTGACACGTTTATTTATTCATTCACAAGGGACCAGTTTAATGACGAGAAGGGAAAACTGATTCAAATATTGTCTTCGTAACAAAATCTATATTTAACAATTTTGTTTACAGACTGATGAGTTGAATGATGAAAACTGAAATCATCTTCTGGTTTATTACAATGAAGTGTTAAAAACATCTAACTTGTAGGATATTAAAAACCAGAAAATAATCATGTCTAGTTATAAAGAAACTCTCTGAGTGATATAACACAATCATATATACAAGACCCCGTCGGACAGTCCTTTGATTCCCATATAAGGGATACTGTTGATTTTAATCTAATGTTAGTCTTTCTATCGTGATTCCATCTCGATCAAGTTAGCGTGCATTGAGAAGAGACATTTGTACCGAAAGCTGTTGTTCTCGGGACACGCTAAGCACTGACCAGTTATAATTAATTTACGTCTAATTTTGTTTGAAGTGTTCTCGATATTACGTAGGTGTCAATGGGGTTTATCTGAGAGCCTGATAACAGGACCGCACTAACCTATTCCGAGTGATTTTATTGACAGATCACATATTTTATCATTCAATCGTATTGTCAGCTCCCTTCGAGTGCGGATCGTCCTTTATTGGTGAAGTGTGCAAAATCCCTGATAAGATTGATTCAATACCAGCACCTATTAATTGGCCAGTCACTCGCCAGCTATAAACCTGACAAATAGTGGTATAATAGGGGTAAAGAGATTTCAAACACGTCCAGAAAAAATGTACGGTAAACATAAAGGAGTCACAGCTTGGGATGGTCAATAAAACGTTAATGAGACCCGAAAATCTGTCTACACAAACAGAATGATGAAGCTTTTTGGTGAAACTGATTAGAAAATGTTAGCCTGTTGGAATCTACATCAAATGAGAATAAAGACGTCAAATTAAGTTGCATGGTTTGTACGTAAAGGATTGTAATGTGTCTTCTTCCATGAAATATCGACAAATGCGACAAGAAGATAGATGATGGTCCCAATTGTTTAACACTTAAATGACCTCCTCAATGAGCCGCGTCCAAGTGTGTTTGCAGCGTGCATTGGACCAAGAAATGATGGCCATTATTAAGGGTATAAATGGTGCCAATTGGCACTTAAAGTTGAGATTCAAATAAATTCAGTGGTATATGCACTATTTATAAGTAACAAGAAAGGAACATTATTGTCAGATTTAGAAAAAAAAATAATGAAGAAATGATTTGTACAAAAAAGTTTAAAATGTGAATTTTGAAGTACATTGTATATTGTTTTTTTTTAACAATAAACCAAATTCATGTTTATGCGAGTTTGAAATGTTGAATGTTGTGATTAAATAGTCTGTCAATAAACAACGTGTATTCCTATTGCGAATGTAAACAGTCGACGTCGACTTGTCATTTTCAGGAGACATGTAAATTTTCAATTATGACTAAGATTGAGAAAACCTCGTTATCTATAGAGAATTGTATAAGTAGGCATTGATGGTATCTGACTGGAATATTACGTGATTTAATAGTGTCAGATTCATACACTATTAACATGCGACAAAATGTCGAACATAAAACATGTATAGGTGCCATGTATTTTAAACAATTTCTTCAATGACAATTTTAGATTCGATATCAAGTGTTTCTTTCAGTGTGTACCAACAGGGAGACAAGCCGGGGAAAACTACACTCATATATTATAAGACGATTGACGTGTTTTGTGTTTCTATTCAAAGCCCACAATTCCCGTGTAGTCCATGTATGGATTTTCTTTAAACGTAAAGCGACGCCGTATCTATGCATTTTAGGTGTAAATTTTATCTCAATTCGTAGCAATTATGGTGTCGATTTGCATATAATTCTTTAACGCTCCTTGATGAACGTTTTAACGATTTTTAAACGTCTTCGTTCTTACCTAAACGTTTTCCTGACACGAACCTATTACAGGGTCTAGGAGTAAAGAGTGATACATCAACGCCAACAAGTAGAAAAAGAGAAGAAAAAAAATATCGAGGAGTCTTTTAAACTGTATCACATTTATTTCTGAAGAAGTGCTGGCATCATGTTACGTGTAAGGGCAGCTGGAAACCAGGTATTCTCAAATGAGAACAACAATGGAACCACTTTACGTACTAGTGCCCAAAGAACACGTGTAACTGAATATCACACAAGAAAGTGAGACAATGCGTAACCCTTCTCCATGTACATCAGCAAGCTACGTCTCCCGAAACCTTGTGATGTCAGATTATTTTTAAGCTGTCTAAATCTTGCAAAGTGTTATTGGAATAACATTTGGAATAAATAGCGACATGAAATAGTGTTAGAAAAGCATTACAATATATAAATACCTTAATCCAGTATGAAGAAGCCATACATTCAACTGACGAAATCAACGTCCCCACGAAAACGGCGTTGCGTTTTTCTATGAAATTCTGCCTTGTGTTTGCCAAATCGAATTTAAGCAGAGTAAATCGGAAACTGTTTAATCCAATGTCCTGTATGTACAGAATTTTCCTCTTTTCTCTACTTGTCTTGGTTCTGTCTACCCTGAAATTGGTCCTTCTCAAGCTAGACTTCTTATTGCCGGTTCAATTAGGGAATAGCATATTTGTTTTTATGCATATATTGGAGATATGATAAAGAGTTTTGGTTTTAACACGAGAAACAGTTATGATTCATGATCCAATATCCAGTATAATGCATTAATACAAACTTCCTCTCCCCGATTCTAAAATAATGTGAGTCTAAAAGTCTTGTAATTATCGTAATATCAATGTATTTCGTTAAAACCAAAACATCTACATTTTGTTCGAAACGGTCCCTCACATTCTCTTGACCAATTCAAACTCTCCTTTCAATCATTGGTGACGTAGAAGCTTAGGCTACTTTTCAATCAAGTTGCTTAGCATCAGGATTTAGGTTGAGGCATATATATAGGCTTACAATGTTTCTGTGTGTTATCAGTCTGAATTTTTATTTACATTGATGTGTATACCTGAGATTCGTCATGTCTTTCTCCGAATCGGAAAGTTTTTTGTTCACTAAATAACACCAATAAAACAGCAGACATCGTACGTAGACGGGCATCGACAAAATATTATGTTGGGAGAGTTGTCAATGCGTTTCTTGCAAATGGAGATTGGGATTTTTATAAAATTTTCTTTATCATTATTATCCAGTAAAGGTAGGAGACAATGTCATGTGACATACTTTTATTTAATATTCTACATGTACTTGACCCCTGGATGGAGTATATCACACACTATAACGATTAGGTAAAGCGTATCGATTCTGATACTATCGACAAACCCACTTGAAGCGGAGAAAAGTAAAAAAATATCACAAAGATTGATACCATCGTATTTTCCATATCACATTTCGATGACACATTTTAGCAGGTCACCATTACATGTTTTTTCAAAGTTAATGTTGATCATCTGCCTCAACCGAAAATATGGCTGCCGTCTTTAGACTAGCGAGTATATCGAGATTAGATCATGACAATTACCCAAAAAAATGTCGAGGTGGTGATCAAGGTGTAGTTGTAATATTCACAAACCCGCGACTCACAGATGGAGGGACTTGGCCAAGTTTAATTTTTTTAAACTCGAAATTTCGAGATGAGATAGTAATTTTGAGAAATTTCGAGATAGTACGTCAAAATGTTGTGATAGTAACGAAAATAACAGTACATTTCGAGCTACCATCTCTAAAATTCTCGAAATATTGACTTAATATATAAAAATTTTGATTTAATATCTCGAATTATCGTGTTAAAAGAAATATAACGTGGCCGGATAGGATACCATTGTTGTATAATAACACGCATTATGATATCAATAGTAAGGAAATTGGGTAAGGGTAATGATATTTCTTGGATATATGATATAATTGTTGTTTATCAAATCACATCTCGGTACGATGACGTCTGGGAGAGCTATACAACGATCACGGGGAAAAAATGTATAAAAAATGACGTAAGATTAATTTTAATGTCAATGAATGTAAGGAAAAATCTGATTTTACAGCCACGTGGTATCTTTGGATTAACACGTCAACCCAAATGTGAAATACATTTCGTAATATTTAATATCGAGATATTCTTACTTACCGGTGTTCTCATGTTTTAGGTATAAGGGATCGACATTGAAGGTACGGTGAAGGGACCCACTGTTCTTCACCCTAGACAAAACAAATATAGTTTGATTAATATCGAATCATCGTGTACTGATATTTACTGTCTGCTAAAGTAAATAACCACTGACCCTCACCCTAGACAAATAAGTATACACATATGTTAATGTCAAGAACTCAACCGTATAATGACCAACAGCCCTACAAATTTAGACTGCAGAAAGGTAACATAAAACATAGGACACTTTACAATAACACGTGGCGTGTCTCCAGCATGTAATTCTATTAAAATGTCATCAACTAGAAGTAGACACCCCCCACCCTTTAAACTATCCCAGCTAACATTCATATGACAAAAGGCATACACGTATCTTTATATGATGATGGTCCCTGATTCTAGCTCATTGCAAAATACAAATGACACACCTTGGATCTTCACCTGGTCTTCTAAAAACCGCAGCTCTATCATCATTAACCCCACTTCTACATGTAGGGTTGTAGGAAAAGTTTAAACCCTACCGACTGGAGGATATTGCGGGAACGTATTAAATACGTACCACATAGCCGTGCAATCAAAGTGAACCATCAGCCATTTTGATGGATTAAATGCAATGGAGTGCGCATACTCTATTCCGGCCATGAACTTCCGGTATTCTGGACAAATGAAAGCTGTTCCGGCATAAGCCGCATCGATATGTAGGTACAAACCTTCTGTTTCACCTAAAACATAAATCGAAAGGAATTAAGATTGGAACACACATCGAAAGGGATTCAGACAGAAACAAACAATGAAAGGGATTAACACTGAAACATACATCGAAAGGAATTTAGACTGAAACACACATCGAAAGAGATTTAGACAGAAACATACATCGAAAGAGATTCAGACAGAAACATACATCGAAAGGGATTCAGACAGAAATACATCGAAAGAGATTTAGGCAGAAACATACATCGAAAGGGATTTAGACTGAAACATACATCGAAAGAGATTTAGACTGAAACATACATCGAAAGGGATTCAGACAGAAACATACATCGAAAGAGATTTAGACAGAAACATACATCGAAAGGGATTCAGACAGAAACATACATCGAAAGGGATTCAGACAGAAACATACATCGAAAGAGATTCAAACAGAAACATACATCGAAAGAGATTTAGACAGAAACATACATCGAAAGGGATTTAGACTGTACATACATTAAAAGGGATTTAGACTGGAAAGTAGAAGTGTTGTCATGTACGTGTCTATAAAGGTAAAAAATGTACACAACATTTCTGCTTAAATTTAGAATACTGCTGTCACAGTTAGTCTAAATGGATGTGATTTGAAATTTCGATTCTAATTTCATGAAGTCATAAAGACAAAAGGAACGCACACCAAGCGTAGCATAGTAAATCCTGTTCTTATTTGTTTTGAAACAATGAAACTTAAATTTGCCTTCCTTTACAATATTGCAAAACAAAATACAACATTTTATTTATTTATCACTCTTAATAGCTAGGGTTTAGGGAGGCGGTTTAAGGAGGGAATGAAAGTGAAGAAACAGCGGCACAGTTCATCGTTAGATGTAGATTTAAATATGTAGAATCTGCTCTCAGTGACACATAATGAAATATATTCCAAAGTAAAATACAGATGTCACGTGGATATTATTGGGATTATCATTATGACAGCTCGTTAAGACTGGGCAATTTAGTCTGCTTGTGAAACTATCCGTGAAAAAATGTCCCTCCTCTCCCCAATGTCATTTTATTGTCTTGATCTAATTCAGGGCCAATATTACCTGGTATTGGAATAAGAGAACATCCCCCAAAAAGAATAGTGGTAGTTGTTTTGCATAGAAATAAGAACAGTTGTCATATGTTGTCTTACCTCGTTGTATGAGTGTACTTACAAATCGGACCGAGTTCTGCTAGATTGTCAAAAGCACAAGCTCCAGTGGTCCCTAGAGTGGCACATACCTGAAATGATAAACAAAAGGTTTGTTTGATATCAATATTCTATACATCGTAATGTACCTAATTCGATTATGTAACAAAACATCTAAAATATATTTATTGAAAATTTTGTTTTAAATCAATTTCCAGACAACAGAATTAAAAAAATATATTTGAAACCTACACGATAAAAATAAATAAAAAAACGAGAGTACCGAGATGTCAACTACATCAGTGAAGGTCGATGGCCGTGATATCAACATAGGGAAAATTGTATACACGAGAAATTATATACTCTTTGTTTATCGCCCTTTTCATATTACACGTCATCCCTCAAATAAGTCATCCCATTTTGCTATTGCAGATTACTCGAATTTTTTGAAAAAGCCGGCCATTTCCTTTTGCTTTTAAAGATTATCCCCCTCTTATAAGACACCCCATTCCCTTTTAAAAGGACATATTATATCCCTTTATTAAGATAACCAATTCCCTTTTTAATATGACAAATTATCTCCCTTTAATAAGACAGGCATTTCCCTTTAGAAATGATAAATATCCCTTTAACAAGACAGACAATGCACATATGACAGATTTTCTCCCATTAAAAAGGCAGACACTTCCCTTTAATATGGCACATTACCTCCCTTTAACAAGACAGACAATTCCCATCTGATATGACAGATTATCTCCCTTTAATAAAACAGACAATTCCTATCTGATATGGCGGATTATCTCCCTTTAATAAGACGGACAATTCTCATGTGATATGACAGATTACCCCCTTATGTAAGACAGACAATTCCCTTTTGCTATGATAGATGGTCTCCCTTTAATAAGACACCCCATTCACTTTGATATAATAGATTTTCTCCCTTTAATAAGACACACAATTCTTTTTTGGTATGATAGATTATCTCCCTTTAATAAGACAGACGATTTCCTTTTGATGTGATAGATTATCTCCCTTTAACAAGATTGATTATTCTCAATTCATATATGAAAGCATTCCCAATCAAAAGGATAACTTATTGCTGTATATAATAGTGTACCGGAAGTACCTGCCAATATTGACAAAAATAGAAAAAAAATATAAAATATTCTCTAATTTCCTGGTGCTATTGTAAGAAATTTGCATTCTTACCTTTAGGTGTATTATAAGTGATATTATTTTATGTACTCAGTTTGTAACGTCATTAAATTGATCCCAAGACAAAGTTATTATTTCATACGTTTTAACAGCCCGCGCTGATGAACAAGACCGGAAGACGTCCTAAATGCCTTCAACAAAAATATGTAAACAAATTATTGATGAAATTGATTTGACGTCCAAACAACATCAATAGACACAATTGATTGGCCTATTGGGTAAACATGTTTAAAACAGACTGTAAACACTGTAAATGTGACTTGAAGAGGTGAGAATTGTAATCCACGCTAGCACGGCCTACACCATGATCAGGTGCTTATAAAGCGTCCATTGTTATGTCTTATAACTACCACGATCGAAATATCTTGTATACCAATTAACCATTCGTTTTATTTTATGTCCATCTCTTTACATGCGCTTAATTGAAGAATGAATATGATAACCAGAATTTTCCTCATGTTGTTTTATCTGCTATTGAGTATATCCGTTCATTTAAAGTACTTACTAGATGATAATGAATTAAACTATGCAGAAAAAGAGTTAAACGTACTGTGGTCTGGTAATGTATTAAAATAAATAATAGTGATGTTTCGTCATTCTATGTATCGTTAGTAATTCTAGTATCCAAAAGTGATAGTGACACACTTTCACCATCTGCTTTCGGAAAAAATATTTATAGAAGGTCCGAAATGGCAGTATACAGTAGCCTTCACAAAATCCACGGCATTACGGTATGCATATATTTGATTTTCGTTTTGAAATCATACAATACAGAGGAACTTGTACCTACCCGTTTGGTATTTTACAGTCTGACAGCAAAAGTGTGTCAACAGCACTTTAATATATAGTTGCCTATATCCATGAGTGTTTTAATGTCGCTTATAACTCGACTGCACCAATCTCGCGACATTTGTACCTCGTGAACACTTTCCTATGTCTGCCATACAACCAGGTTTCCATTCAAATCACCGAGAAGAGATATCATGATGGTATTTAACCGCTGTTCCTGGTATTAAGTAGCAACATTTATCACTTCCTTAATTCAACACCTGTGTAGTGTTTTAGCTGCCCATAGTTCATAAACTTGTAAGAGGTTTCCCAAAAAAAAGGATTGAAATATTCCCACGTGTCATCAGTACAGAGGGAATTACTTATCTCTAAGGACGACCCTCGACTATCGTGTTCGCACGTTCAGTGCGCGCAGTAACACGTGTACGCACTTTAGGTACATTTTGGTAGTCATTAAGAGCGAGGTTTCGACATAAACTGTCTGTATTCATGTTTGATACATCAAACTGCTGCTGACAACAGACAAGCTTTAATTGTATTATGTATTTGCGACATTTTTACCTCCGATGGTGGTCGTACGATTAGGTTTCAATTCAAGTCACCGATAGGAGATATTGAGATTCGCAAAATTTAGCGCCACTTCCTGACAACATATTTCCACCTAGTTGTACACCTATATAGTATCACAGATATAAAGTGGAGAGAGGACTAGCTTATTATATCTATATCCTATATACTACCTTCTGGTAATCCTAACAATTCGAATATTAAATTCTTATTGATGGTGTCCATTACACACTTTCATTGAAGGGGCTTGCAGCACTCCAACATCTTGAAAATTGAACAAAGACATTCAAGTGAAAAGCGCATTTTTCTTCCTCCACATTTCAAGTTAGACACAGTTAAACCAAACTTTAAATAAATTCAAAATTTAATACGCGAAAATAAAAGATATTCGTAAATATTTAATTGTGTTCAGAATTACGAATTACTGATACTGTGATCTGGTAGTTTCATTAATAAATAGAAGTCGTAAAGCAAAAACAATGCTTCTGTTGAACAATCTTTATCTGGAAATAGGAAAATTCTATCGGCATTATCAGCGTAGTTTACTGCTGAAGATGAGCAAGTACATCTGTTATCTATCAGGTGTGAAATTATAAAGGAGTTTTATAGACGCCGCGTTACGTTATTTTCAGTGTTCATTTCCTTAATTGTCGGGTATTAATAACGCATATTCTCCTACATTGTCAGCGATTTCATCATAAATCAGTTGATCTGAAAAAAAAAAGTTTAATCAATACAAAAAATATTGACTAGCCCATAGATATGGATAAATATACGTTAAGCACGGCAATCGCTAAGGGCATTTTACCTATTTTGGAAGTACCTATCTATATTAATTGAATTAATTGAGACCTTATCTTTAAAGTATAAAGTTTGATATATAGTCAAAGTATGGGCCTAAGCAAATCCGTGATTACCAGATTTACAACTGAATTATTAAAATCAATCTCATGCCAGCATCTTGTGTGTATCACGGATAGTGACGTATATACTAGGAAAGACAACCTTGTGACCAACACGCAAACATTCTCTACAAACAATACCACATCAAAGATTTCTATTTCCGGTTCTGTAAGCATTCTGGGTAAGACAGATTACTAGTTAGAAATGAGATCAAATAAACACTGTAAACGTTTTTTGTAAATTATTTATATACTTTTAAAGACGTTAATAAGATACCGAAACCCACTGAAGTTCAACAACAGGTACTACAGAAAACACGACGATAATTATATGACATTTATATATACATGTTTTACAAATCTTAATATTTATCAATTATCGTCTAAATTAGTAGAGCTTAATACGGAAACGATGCAGAATTCAATGTAAAAATGTCATATAGATGATAAAAGATGATAGATATATATGTAACTTAATCCCAACTTAAATATATTTATGTATATTGAATACCGCATGACTAGTTATTTTTTCGGGGTTGATATTTTGTATATTGTCGTGAAAATTGAATTCGTGAAACAATGAGACACGAGTGTATTAGATTTTTTTTCATTCAAATCACAAAAGTTGAATTCGTTAAATTCAACGTTTTAAATGAATATCGCGAAAATATTGATCCATGAAAATGTCCGGCTATACAGTACATTTATGAAAGATATTTATTAACTTAAAGAAGGAACACTTAGAAAGGATGATACTAATTATCTGAATGTAATATACAGTTCAGAAGACGGTTGAACTAGTGGTTGTGTCCGCTCTCAGGTCGATAAAACGTATGTCTGTTGAGAGCCTGGTCATTATTGGGTTAACGGAAAGACAAGTGAGGAACTAATTCAGTGAGTGTTCCGAGTTAACAGAGTGCCACCTACTCATCTCCATCGCAGGATTATGGGTATAATTATGAGCTATTTGCATGTTTTTTTATTTATATAATTTCCCGGTGACAGATAGAATTGGCCATTCTAGCGACATCTATCTACAATGACCAAAACAACTCAATTACGTGTGCTGTTTTAGCCTGATGAACAGTGTGCTTAAACAGTAGTCACCTCGGATGCGTTGGTGCTGTTATAAATTTTTCACACGTTTTTGTGTTCTTACTTACCAATAAATGATCACTCCCCAACGGTCTGACGGCCTTATTGACAGTTTGAGGACCCGTAAGTGGTATGTGCACCAGTTCATTTCGATCACAGATGAATAATTAAATATTCTAACCATTTACAGCAGACTGAATTCATTTGATCATGAACTTCTTTATACTAAATGATGCTCTGTCCCTTGGCATGTATCTAATCACACTGATGTAAAAGCTCTCGTCTGATCTATTAACAATGTTATCGTCAGAACTCTCTAGTGATTAAAAATAAGTTCCGCTTTGTGCGTGTCATGCCTAAGTAAAGAACCAAACTCCGGTACGAATACGGAATGACAAAAGACGTTATTCTGGAAAAGAGTCGACGTGGCCAGACGGACGCCAAAAATTGTTTAAAAAAAAAAAAAAAAAACCAGATAACATCCAGACCAAAGATTAGATTTTAAAAAGTTTTCTTTAAGGATCTGTTTTGATATACTAATGAATTAATTAACTTAAAGAAGTCTAACAATTATTTGGACATTTAAGTTTCATTATAGTTAAAGATATATTGCACTTAGAAATTAGTTATAACAAACTGGGGATCCTGGTTTAATTTGAAACGATTATGAGAGTATAGATAGTTACTGAGGAATTGGAATAATCTTCATTCGGCGGGGTTTCAAATTTAAGTCTGAAAGTAAATATATATAGATAAATTTCTAGTATTTTCGCACTTTCATATTTTTTCATGGAAAAGAATTTCTATTCGTAAATATGTATGTTAACCGTTACAAATACCGTCAAGAATCGGCAAACACCAAATTCTATTCGATACGCGGGATATTCTAACTTTACATGAGGTTGATCTAGGTTTCATCAACATATTATACTATCATTGGTAAATTTTGACTACAATCGTTATGTGAATGAAGATATGTCTTTACAGGTATAAGGCAAGGGTACTTACAATTAGTAGCACCTGATGGGGAAACTTAATGTTAGAACTTCAGGACAATTAGGATGCAATTTCATTGTCACTTCTTGTCGGCGAAATCCGCTAAAATAAACCGACTTTTGCGACGAGATCGTTTGACAAAAAGGCGAGCGGTAACAGTGTTTGTATGTGGTTTAGTGATCTATACGGGAGTGTATTACATGTGGTTAGGTCTTTTACAATCTGTTGACATGTCTGTGGGAACACTAATGTTAATAACGTATTTCCCAGTACAAGAATGATTTGCTTTTTAAAACATTAATTAGAAGAAGGTAACGAACATGCAAGATCCTCAAATGAATTCACTTCTTTCATCTGTAACATGAAATCATTCACGGACACAAAATACCATGGGATCATCAACTCGCCTTCGAGCATTACTCCACCATAAGGATACTTATATACATTTTATTTCGTCTTAATGTTGTGTTAATGATCTTAGGCTTGTTGGCCACACAACAATTTTCGGGATGGATGCCACCAACCGAGAGAAATAGGTATATGCCGTCTGAAATATTCTGCCACGGTTCCCTTGATAGGAAACATTCCATTTCTCTGTGTAGTATGAGGTGTTATGCATTTGATGGCTTTTGTTGTTCCCGAGTGTTTCATTGTTCTAACCTGGCTCCTACTTTGAGAACGTGGCATTCCTTGATTTGTCCTACATTTACATGGTTGTTGCCGTCGATGATGTTTATATTCCCGAAATGAAATGTGTTTATCTTCACTTTTACATATTTTGTCTTCGTTTGATTGATTTTACGATTTCGTGTACATGTCTCTTTTTGAGATGTTTCATTATTGTTTACTTACAAAGAAAGGAATCAGCCCTTCCTCGCGATCCCTTTCAATGGCGGCTTGTAATCCTTCCCCGCGCATGCTCAGTTGATCATCACTGCAAATGAACCTCATCTTCACCAAGCCAATAAGTCCTGCCTTCTCAACCGAAGAGTGTGCCTTGAAAGATGATATGGCGGTGTTGAATATTATAACTACATTTAATATTTTTAGATATAAGTAAGCTTATATATTGAATGTAAGGTCGGTATATGAAATCTGAAGATTAGACATGACTTCTGTTGTTTTGAGACTAAATGGTAATGCTGGGGTTTAACAAACTGACAAATTTGCCAACTGTTTATAGTTATCAATTATTTGATAGTTTTAGGCTAAATCCAAGAAGTAGATTGTCCAATCCCAGCTGCCGAGACGACTTACAAATATACCAAATCATTTGACAGATTTAGTAAATTTAGCCCACAGTGGATATGACAGAGGTTTTTCAGTTTTTAATTTTCAGTTGGTTTTGCCATTTAATCAATACTGTATTATAGATAATATATTTTCCTTACCTGGTCGGAACAGTAGGCAACAAGTCTTGCATTGATCTCAGCATCGTCAAGTCCCGAATGCAAACATTTGTACTTTCGGAACACTTCAGTTCTCGCGGCAAGCAAAGCAATGAATGTTGAGTCACTGGCTGTAAGCTATACGGAAGATACGAGAGAGAGAATGGTGATCTCTCTTAAGGAGGACATGAGGGATTGACACTGTTATATCTTCCGCAGATTCAAAATTTTTGATAAGTAAGCATCACACGAGTGTTCTGAACTATCTCCCCAAATTTCATCCGCTGATATTTCAAGTTTTAACTTTTAAAATATCAAATCTGTTACCTATTTAATCTCATGTAGCGCTGTGATTTGTAGGCTGACCACAATGATTATAACTTCCGAGATTAAGCATGAATTAGGCTTTAAATATTGTCTGAGGTCAAAAATATTATATATATATATATATATAATTAACAACAATAAAACGATATTGTATAAGTCATGTGACGTTGCACAGACCTGGATAACTCCGCCTCCCATGGTTTGTTTGTTGCTATGGAGAAACTCTGACGGAAGCCCTATCATCTTTCCAAGCCAATCCATGACTATCGTTTCCAGTTCCGTACAGGCAGGACTCGAGGCCTGAAACATGTCAAATATAAACATGGAATGTAACTTTGACTTGAAATCCCTTCAATTTTTTTTTAAATCTTCGGAAAAATCAGTTGTATTTATTGATTTTTAACCTATACAAGACATAAGGCTTGAGCACAAAATTCATTCTTGAGCATGAGAACGGTTTCATGAATACAGGCTCAGGTGTTCCGGAAGAGTAAGTGTCTTATGCTTCATCGACATCAACCGTAAATCTTGAAAAATCCAAGTAAGTAATGTCATGTTCTCAAATGAGAACAAGGTATACAACAACGGAACCAAGAGGCAAACTAACGAGCATCAAATACTTCCAGTTTCATAACTCGCACAGAAATGGAATATTTCTCAAGGAAATCACTATGGCGACCATAAAACTTTCCCATACTTTTCATTAATCTGCATCTTTTGAAACCCTGTGTTTCCCGTCAGTATATTAATGTTGAATAAGAAAAAAGGCAAAAAAGAAATCCCAAGGTCTGTCGCTGTTTAACAGCTGTTCAGGGAAACATTTATTTCATAAATCTAGAGAAAGAGAGAATGTGTGAAGTTGGTATTACTACTTTCATGTATATGAATGCAATGTTGTGAGCAGTATAATGACAGCATAAGACTTAGTTATGGATTCGATGTTAAACCGTAAAACGATACACAATATATAATATAATAAACATTGCTCGCATCGTAACAACATTGTCTATTGTTTTGTAATAGTATTATCTAAGTTGACTTAGAAAAAACACAGTCATTGATACAAGGTCTGCACTGATAACTTATTGTAATTCTAATAATTAATGTTGTGTTCGTTTTTCATCGTTTCAGTTTAGCTACGTATGGCGCTTAATGAAATATCGAACAATGCTGTATGTGTAATTTGTGATGATGCACGTGTATTCTATTAAGTTACAGTGATGAATTGCTTTACAATATTGTGTCAAACTTACCCATGTAAAACCGAGGCAGTTGATAGCGTCCGCAAGCATATCCCCAAGGAGAGATGGAAAAGAGTTGAGGGCGGGAAAGTAGGCGTGCATATACGGGCTCTGCCAATGAGTGACCTGAAATTTTAACGATGTTTTTAACTTTAGCACTGACTATTTTTAACAGCAAAAATTGCAAGAGAAAAAGTAGGGCAGCTATTGGAGTCAGCATTTTCTTCTAATCGAGACGCGTATTTCAAGATATATCTATTATATAAGCTTTATCTATTTTACAACAATTGCGAAACACAGCTTATATCAATCACTCTTGCTGGCCGTGATGAAAGCTCGGGAGGGGTCTTACTGTGGAAGAAAACCTGAGTTCCCGGGGTAAACCCACGTGGTCGGGCAGGTGACCCCATACCTTTTCACGTCCGTTACGGGAATCGAATGGCTATTGAAAGGCGAGTGCGTTACCGCTGAACCAACCAACCAATCGAAATTTTCCAGGTGAATGAACATTTGCGGCCTGATAACCAATAGACGAAACACTTCACAATAACAACAATAAGAGAAAAGAAGCTGTTGTAAAATTCCTCGCCACAACTAACTTATCGCCGACATCGCTGTTCCTTTACACAAACATCATGGCCCTCTGACGGAATTTCTCCCTAAACATTTTATCAGAAGTCACAAAAAATAAAACATGAAAATTGACATTTTGTTTGTTGATCAGCTCGTATGACTAAGCCCATTTCAAACAGATTAATGCTTTTTATTTCACCTGCAACCGCTCATACCAATTTTTGGAATGAGGTTTGTTAATACTATAATTAAGTCCGCGATTTTGTTTTTTCTTTCCATTCTGGTAATGAACTGTTAAGGCGAGTAGGTATAAGAAACTAATATCAATTTGAAAAGTACTTTACCAAAAACTAAGATTGCTCTTTTTTGTGTGTATATGTAATTACTAGCACGAGTGTTTCTGGTCATCTAATGAAGATGTGTGTCTATATTCCAGCATTATCAAACATAATGTCATTTTAATATGACAATATAACTCGTACTTAAGTGATCCAAATATAAATACTGGTGTCATCTGATGAATTATTGTGAGTTTAGAAAGAGAATATGTCTTAGAAATGTTCCTTGGCGTATGTGTCCGAATGAACTCATTCCTGTTTATCTGTCAGACAGACAGACCGACAGACAGACATACAGACAGGGAGAGGGAGATTCGTGTAACAGATAAAGCTATCACCAAGCACTGTGAGTTTATTACAAATCAATAAAGATGTTGTCAAAATAATCATCAGTTCCGTGTAATTGTGTGTAATTACAAACACTTCATAGACCTACGCGTTCAGTAGTGTAGTGAGATAGTCAGCAGGGTTAGGTTTACAATTACAATCACACAAAAAAAAAACTATTTGTCAACAATTGAAATTGTCATAGAATTAAAATTATATTTAAGCAGAAATTTAAAATCATAAGTTACAAAATTTAGAAACAAATGGTATATGAGCTTTTCAAAATTTTCAGAAGCAGTTTAAGATGACGAAGCTTTCATCAGAAGAGTATTTTAATCGATACGAAATTGACGCTACAAATCCGTTTCCAGCTTTTTTCTTTCATTTACGAACGTAATGGAAAAATGACAGGGTATAATTATTGACAAATACCAATTTAGGAATGTACAGGCCGTATTGATATAATTCGGTAACGTATGTTTTCAAGGAAAATACATTGAATAAAAGTAAAGATTTTGAAAAAAAACCCAGTTTTATATCTCGAACTTACTAAACTTCATCTGAAATCAAGGCATGATATGTATATAACTAAAAACAATGGATTTATATAACTTATAAATACTAAATGTTTGATAACATTACAAGTCTTTATCTCTACAACTATTACAGGAAATACCTTAGTAGAAAATAGCATAACAAAACCTTCACTATTATAACCGAGAAATCAGTTGTATCTTTAATCAGAAACAAAACAGTTCATTTTCCTCTCTATTTCATGGTGATTTTTGAGAAAATCGTTTCTATTTGAATTTGAAACATAACTGAAAAAATGACAGTGCAAAATGAACATTTTCCCTCGGAAATTAAAAGTACGTTTTTTTTTTGTTTTTATGGTAATCAATTCAAGCAGGTTATTGCACTTAATATAATTTTGATACGATAGTTCCAGCATTTTTACAATAACATATAATCAAGGCATAAACGCTTATATTTTTGTTCATACATAGCATTTTCATAGCTACTGATATTGTGATATTATTTTTTTTAAATTTCGTTTTAGAACATTGTTATCAATAATCATCGTCATTAAGAATACAAACACTTCTTTGAAATTTAGTCTATGGTACTGTATATCTGAAGACCAATCCTTTTCGCAGCGCGTGCGTCTCCGTTACGATTCACTGCTCAGAGAACTACCAATTTTGACGTCACATTCTCGACAGAAGGTAATGAATCTACAAAGGCACTATCGGTAAATTGGGATGTTTTAGACCTGACGCAATCTTGTTTTTTTATTATTGAAATGTTCTTCCTGGTTTCAAGGCTACTTGTACACTCAGACAATGGCAGAGTCTATACGAAATATTTTATGACTTTCTATATTTACGTGAACGAGTGTCTTTTTGATCGATGTATACGTTGGGTTTGAGTCTGTTTCGTCACCTTGGACAGAAAGAACACTCGCACATTCCATAAATTGAACCTTCTGTACTAAACATATCTGTTCGTGCCTGGATATCGAATAAAATCGATATCTATTCTGCAATGGCATTTCCATTGTCGGAACACACCTGCCACTTTTAGTTTTGCTGTATTCGGCAGTGATTTAAAGCAGCTGTATTTAGTACATGCATTAATGAGACATGATTATTTTATGATTTCCTTAAATATTTCACCAAAATGATAAATAATTGTTAAAATAACATATATCATTTGTTGTCACAAACAAGTTTATTTACGAAAATTCGTAAAACGCCTTTTATATATTACATCATCAGAATCTATCATGCGTTACGTCATTCTGTTTAAAAATAGATTGAATAGTCTCGGAATAAAGGCTCGCCAGTTGTGTCTTCCTTCACTTTCACAAAAATACAGCTTGTATTTTAAGACACTGACCATGTATTCTCTATGTATGCAGAGCAGCAAAATAAATGTTTTTCCTGATAGCACGAAGTAACAAGAACATATACAAGGAATAAAAAACTACCGGAAATATAGACACGGTAATGAAATATCTTATGCTATGAAAAAAGGGCCACATACAAAGAACATATTTATTTACGTGGTGACTACGGATTCTGTTGATGCGGTACAACAGAGGCAAAACATATGACAAACTTTGCAAAACTACACTTCATTTAGTAAGTATATTAAAATTTTAAAAATATTACTTATCACTTGTTAAATGATACTCACGTACAAATAACAATGACTCTCAATGCATAATACTATGATATGCGAATATCGTATGGATGAACCGTAATGACTGGAGCACTGCCAACATTCTGGTCAGTGTAAGTGAGTATTATGCTGCAATTCTGCGAATGCTTTCTTTGAACTTCCTGTTATACAAATCAGGATTTTTTCAGTAATTCTCATGCCGTCCTGATTGCTGCTAATTTTCGTCCTCCCTAACATATAAGACATCCATTTCTGCTAAACAAATATATATCAAATAATGTGACATTACTACTTACTGACATTAAATGGCGGGTGTCGTCGATGAAACAGAAGTTGCTTATACTTCCGCAACATCTGGTCTTATTTTCCTTGTACGTTTTTGTGGAGCTACATGTATATCTTTCTTTTGTGCATATTTCGCGCTTGTTTTATCAGTTTATGTTTGAATTAAGTTTCTGTATCCGAAATTCTTCGTCTTGAATTATCAGACATATGAAAATTGCGAAATTTATTGAAAAATGAGCTAATGGACCTTTTCATCTATATTTTGACATTTCTTGCGAACACTTTGCAGTTTTCACAGTATGCTCCACAGCTTTAAAATTTAGACCCTCGCCATCATTGGCGTGTCTAAGAAAGACGAAAGAGCTGAATGGTGCAGTTGTATTAATGATTCAACTCTATTGTATCTAACTCTGAATTTGTATTAACTTGTACGTTTTTTGTACCATATTCAATTAACATGTCAGTCTTTGATTCATTTCCGGTTTAAAATCGATTAAACCATTTATTATTGATTATCTTATCAAATTATGACGTATATCGATGTTACCTCACACCCTAATACGCCTGTCATCTTAATATAGACGTTTAAGCACAGAGCTTACAACAAAATTTTAAAGACAAGCAATGTTTTTCACACTGGTCAAAAATGCTGTCTCGTGTCATGGTTTCATTGTATAACGAGTCAATAACTAACAACATACGACAACACAAAAGACACACAAGTTAACAGCATCTCTCAATACAAAGTTAGAATCAGATACAGTAGAGACATATCATGGATGAAACTGTTTTGCCATTCTAGTCACGTCAGTGACCTCGGAGTTAACAGAGTGGTCACAATGGATGTCAAAACCCAGATCTGGAGCTGGAGGTAAACTAACAACACCAACCAATGCATTTTCAATGTTGACAGACTGCAAAAATTTAATTATTAGTAGAATGTCTTTTCCTTGGGTCATGTTTTTTTTATAAGTTTATTAAATTGATTGTATATATTTTTCGTCCATTTGTTGGTTTTGTTCCTCAATCTATCTTCTGTACGTGATACCATTACTTATATCAATCTGATCGAAAATAAACATCTTGTTGATTTTTTTATCAAGTTTCCTAATTCAAATGGACAATAATCTGAAATATTATGAAATGTTTCTTTATAGTGTTGTTCTATAGAAACTGTTACAATTCATATTTGTTGCTTGATATTCAACAAATTAAATGAATGTACATATGCAATTTTACTATCACAAATATCTTTAAAAATTGAAAGGACAAATAAGGAATTTTAAGAAGATTCAACATTATTTCTTTGTTGTTTCTTTATTTGTTTGTTTGCTTGTTTTTGCTTTTGATTCGTTTTGATTTTGATTTTTGTTTGTTTTGCTTTTTTTTTGTTTTGCCTTTGGTGTTTTGTTTCTGCTTTATGTTGTTTGTTTAGTTGTTTTTTATTGCTATCACCATACAGTACACTGTTCAGGGAAATCTTGCTATCTTCTTGTTTCTGGTAATACAGAGAGTCACAGTAAATAAACGATGGAGATGTGTTAACATTACTTCTCATGGATGAGAAAATATCACTCACTGCCCCGACATAGATTTTTCTGTCACGTTCTGTTTGGTATCTTTTCACAATATCTAACGCGACACGACGTCATCAATTGAATGACGACATATCAACTTATAACCAACACAGGAGGTAATTAAATGTAAATGCAGTATCCAGAAATGAGAATAGACGATACTATAAGACTCTTATACCAGTATATTGATATCAGTTTTTTCTCCTCCAATCAGATTTTGTTACAAAACGACTTAGATCAATCGATTTTGATCAGACACAGTTAACATATTTTATTAATCACACGTGAGTAGAAGTACTTACCCCAGGCATAATAACCCTTTCAATATCCCGGAAGATATCGTGCCAGGGTTCACCTTCCGTTGGCGCTGTTTCCGGTACTAAATTGCGCATGTATCCAGGCTGTACATCCGGGAACACACGCCTCGTTCTTATCGTCTTCAGATAATCAGCTATATAATCCACCATATCTTTACCTGTCAAAGTGTCAAACAATGAACCTATAACACATTTTTATATAAAATGTTGTGTCTATTTCTTGGAAATTTCTTGGAACTGAAACGGTACATAGGACCATATGCGATTTGTATGCGATAATAAGATTATCTAATATATAGTTTGGGTTCTATGTTTAATTTTAAGTAAAAAAGGAGACCACATCTATGCGTGGTTCCCAGTGTTTACTACATTGGGCTATTTTTTTTTACGTAACAACATCTACATTCAATTGTTGAAAGGCTACATTTCGTCCATACAAAGCGAAATCGTCATGAATATCTCGGTAGTTCAGTAACGATAATTCACTATTGGTCTCATACATAACATATAGGGTCAGGAATCACTTAAAAACATAACACCTCTAACAATAATAGGTCATGTCAACGATATAGCGAAAATTACTTTCCTTTTTTGAATTGTGAAAACATTTTTTTGGATACCAGATTCTCATATCCTTTGTAAATGTCCATATCTAATATAGTCTTTTAGTCCTTCTATGTATAAAACAGACTATATTGAACAATTAAGAATTAATAATTTCGCATTATCTCCTTAACTCTTAACCGATATCTATGTTACTGTCAAACAGACGACCAGATAAGATACTATAAAGATCGTATAAAAATAAAGTAATATCGATTTCATCTGTAAGAAGTTTATATCAATTGAGTGTTCCACATAAACACCTATTTTGACGGATGTTTTAACCAAACTGATCGTACTGCTAAATGGTATATTGCGACCTGGTTCGATTTAATGTTGTTACACTATCGAGGTGAGAATCATTTCACACTATTGTCGTTAGTTGGTTGTATTTACATATACTCGCAGTAGCCTATCATTCGTAGAAAACAACCAACATGTCGACATAATCATAATTTAAACTCAAACTCAATTCAACTAGAACAACCTTTAAACAAAAGGAAGACTTACACGGAGACTCCTTAACAATGGTACAAGAAAAATAAGACGAGGTGTTCCGGAAGAGTAAGCGTCTTCTGCGCCTGTAAATTTTGTCAATCTAGGTAAGTAATGTCACATGATCAAATGGGAGCATGATGTACATCGTGCAAACTAAAGAGCATCAACATGTTTCTTAATGAGGTCACTGTGATGATGATAAAACTTGCCCATCATTGTCATTAACCTTTTGTGACCCCGTATTATGGTCGAGGTTTTCGGTCATTAGACGACCCTTAAATAGGTGATTCAAAAGAAAGCCTATATGTGTTTATATCATAATAATTTGAGATAAACGTTCTCTTTGATCGTAAAATATGTATCTGGACAACAAGACACACTCAGATTTAAGAAGTGTGGACAGCGAGAACAAATACAACTCGGCCTAAGTTATTGGGTTCACACCTAGCAAAATCCATTTTGTAAACCGCTTGATATATATATATATATATATATATATATATATATATATAACCCGAATACTTATATCTGATACAATATCAGAATAACATATGTTGCGTTATTATTACCAGACACCGAAAATAAACTGCGTTACTAGAATTCATTCCATTCAACCCTTGAGTCACGAACAAAAATACGAAACGATGGATTATATGATTGATAGGAAAATGTAACCATAACTCTCGAGGGACTCCGATAATGACTCATGTAACCAATACGAATGGAACTGGGAGATGAACATACATAATAGATTTACAAGTCATTAACTGTCCGTAAGAACAACTTATTTATTATTTATTTTTCAAAGGTAACCGCACCACATTACTACCTTTGTGTTATTCATCTGAGGTAAGTTGTAAATTGAAACATACCGTGACATTAAGATATCAATCAGCTGTATATTTACCTGGCATGATTAGCACTGATTTCTAAAATATAGATACACAGCTAAAATTAACTGTTTACATGTAGCATGTACTTTAAGCCTCCTACCATTCGGAAGCCCTTTTCTGTTAAATTGCATTTACATAATACAGGTAATATTTTGATAAAACACATCGATAATTACTACCTGTTGCAGTACTACATCTTAAACTCGAGCATTCCAATCAAAATATTGCATAAACAATTTTTTTGATTAAAATTTAGGAGCTCGTTGTTATTCCATTGGTATCACTTAGCGGCCAGTAGTCCTTCTATGGGTAACACTATGAGCTAGTTATCTTTCTTTGGGTAAAACGTAGGGGCCGAGTTGTCATTCATAATATAGAGAGGGTAGAGTGACTGAGCATTGATTACACAGCCCTCGGACAAAATAGGGAATAATTGATAGTGTGTTTTAACATCATGTTTGTTTTAAATTTCTTATGCGCTATAAGCACACACAGGGAATTATAAGGTTCTAATAGAATTTTCCAAATACAACCGAATAATCTTGAAACATAAAAAAAGTATTCTGACATTTCTTTTGGCAAAATAATCAGTAAAGAATTGTTTATAAGGAGACGCCTGCAAAAGTACAAGGAGAATAAGACCATGTGTTCCCACAGAGTAAGCGTCTTCTGCTTCACAGACGACACCTATCATGTAAATATCAGTCTGTGAACTTAAATAATATCACGTTCTCACACCACTTAAATTCCTACAGAATTTTCTCCTAGTGTTTATTTTCTGTTTTCCTTCGTTGTCTTAGCAACGGAGAAGAATGGTTATTATTATTATGGAACATGACGTGTATTATACGTAGCTGCTGTAGTGATCATGAAATCAACCGTAGACAAACGGGGGCTTAAACTATAAACACGAATCAATCACTCACTATAGCTATTCGCTTTCTTACATGAATGAACTTCTTTTAGGATATAAACCATAATGATGAATAAATGTCTAATTTAATCTGGATCTTTGAAATGTAATGTTGAAAAAAAGTTGACTATGCTTTGTTGAATAGGAAACTGATATTGACATGGAGACGAGTCGAATTAATTGATTAAATTGTGACCTCCGTCGACACTTCTAATTCCAATAACTTCACTAAATACAGTGTGTGATTAATGTTTGACAGGCTATCAATTGTTATTGGATACAATCGCTGACATATACTTTCTCGGAAATGTCCGAAAATATGCGGAAATAAACGGACTTTTACGAATACACAGACAACACAGACTTGGATGTAATTAACCCCTGACAGTTAATTTATCAATTGTTAGACGGTACAGCGGCATGACCATGAAATGAACTCTATCCGGATATTCGCGAACATTTTCGACAATTAGTTGGCTTTTACGAACAAAATAATAAAAAAAAACCGACGACGGAATCATTTGCGATAATTAGGCTAGCAAATTGATTACACCTTAAGATATCCGGACATTTCCACAACATTCCATGATTAAGCTACCAATTGAAATAGCTAGAGGGCTCAATAGAATGTTAACACGCAAATTTCCTACAGAAAACCTGAATATTTTCAAAAACGAAGACTTTTGTGAACATAAGAGTTAAGGAGCTTGAATGTAATGAATCTTCTTTTACAAACATTTAAACCCTAACACTATGTATTTTGTTCGTACAAAACTACAATAAAACCTGATAATAATGGCAATTGTTTAATTATCGAATCCTTTTTTTCAGATGCAAATCTCAAATGTTATAATCATCATTGGTGTTTTATTTATTTCTGAAATATTCATATGTATTTGTTAATTTATGTATCCATTCATTTATTATTAGTGTCTTTGCATCTTATGAAAGTTGTATAACTGTTTCTGTAATACCTGCATTTTTTCTAACATAAAGAAAGTTTTTTTTTATTATATATAAGAAAAAAGACAAAGTTAATTTCACAGAGAATCATAAAGAAAGTTTGATAATTACGTATAAGAAAAAAGTTAATTTCACAGAGAAAATGTCATAAACAGTTGTGTACATTTCGGATGGCGATCATGGTCTGTCCATTGAAGGCATTGAGAGAGTTAGGATATGATCGATGGAGGATTATTCGGCGGTCTTGGCATAGTCAAAGTATGTTACCAATTGTAACATTCCTAAATCCGAAGGTGCCGGAATTGCTCGAGTCAAAACCACTTATAACAAAGACGCCGTCTACATGCTGGTGGCTATAAGGAAGTGTCTAGCATATCACACGAGGACGTGACAGATGGTGAAAACTTCATTCATCTACACCAAAACGTCCAAGTCCGGGCCAAGTTTGTTTAAAGAATTGTCAGCTTACAGACAATACATTTTGGTGTGTTGAAACCTTAGGCACTATAAACATTTTCTAAATCTTATTATAATTTTTTGTACATGTTTAACTACATTTTATTGATTCATTTATTGAAACATAAACGCATATGAAAGACGATTTATTTATACATTTCAAGCTTGAAACGCGGTGTCACGGTAATCGCCGAGAGGTGCCGCAGGGTGTATGTGTCGCATGCCGTTATAAATCGACCAGGGGACAGCTAGAACATCAGGCACAGACATTAGCATCGGACAGCCATCAATTAACACGGTCAGGAGGCACACTACAAAGTTGTTTATAGATTAAAATCACTGTTATACCGCTGAAATAGGTACAGACAAACACACTGCTTATTTACACATCTTTGGGCTGGTAAAAATAGAAATCCAGGTTCGCAAATAGTTTAACTCTGTCAAGTTCGGTTCAGTTTTAAAGTTAATGAGCGGTTTTCAACATTATATATTTGAAACAACAACACCTTACTTGTAAATATGCAACGTTGTTTTTAGTTTTTTTCTGAAATTATCAGACATTTGAAAATTATCAAATCCTCCCCATCTATATTCTGACATTTTCGATCACTTTACATTTCCCTAAATCACCTTCTATGTTTCAAACTTCAACCTTCATGTATTCTAAATGTGATAAAAAGCCCTATGATGCGGTATAGTTCATTATTTGATCCTAATGTATCTAATTTTAAATTGTATTAAAAGGTGCTATTTAATTGTATATCTTTTGTACAATCTTCGCCACATTCGTGAGATTAATTTTACATTACAGCAGATTGTGATTTTAAAAGGA